ACATCCGTGGTTGTCTTTGATCAGTACCCCTTCTGCTTGCACAAGTATCTGGTTTGTGTAAGCAATTGCTGTTATCTTATCTCACGCGGTCATCTTGTCTCACAGGTTATCTTGTCTCACACAAGAGGTGTCTGGCAGCTATTTGCATAAGCAGTTTTTTTTGTCTTTTGCCGCCTAACCTTTACATTGAGCTTAACATAAATTTCAATAAACAATACTCTTAGTTCATAGTTTCTTACAATCCCCAATTAGTTCTTGATGTACCTGTTTGTTTTCCTGCCTAGCAGTGGTGTTGGTTACTCAGAGGCTGTGCTCTCTTTTTACCTACGTGTGCAGCATATAACATTTTTATCTTCACATGGCTGATAATTGTTTTGTTTTTGTTTTTTGTTCCTGTCTGACTGTGGTTTATGTACCTTATGTCCAAGCCTGGTGAAAGCCAGCACAAATCACTACAGTGCCGGATGCAACTGGAAGTAACAGGGATTATTTTTTTGTGTTGATGATTGTGTTTTTATAATGTCATTATGGCGTTGTCTTCATGCAGCTATGAGAGTTGGAATCAAAGGTGGTTTAGTTAATACCTATTAATCATAGAGAGGCTTGAGGCAAGGCACTTTAGCTTTCAAAGCCCAGGTGTTCTCTCAACTTCTTCCTCTTGGGCAGAATTAAGTAACGTGGCATAGGGTGATTTGGGGATCTTTGTGATTTCAAAAGGGTTGGGGTTTTTTGTTGTTTTGTTTTGTTTTGTTTTGTTTTTTTCCTTTTCTTTTTAGTTTCTTTCTGTAGCATTGTTCTACACAGGTAATATTTTGTTCATGCATTCAGGGTGTGGAATGCAGACACTATAGAAAGCTAAAAAAAAACCCCAAACATTGCAAAACTATTGCATGCCGTTATTTTGGTACTGTAGCCAAGCAGACCACTGAATGGCTCGAGACAGTGTCTCATTCTTTATTTGTGTGTTCCCAGCAGAAGGAGCTCATGTCAAAGAAAAGAGATGAGTTTGAAGATATCTTGGAGGAAAGGCGATTGTCCAGCAACTTGAGATACACAATGAAATGTTACACTCCTGTGATCTACAAGGGACTTTCACCTTGCAAGCCAAATGCTATTAAAAATGCTGTTCTCCAGTCAGAGCAAGTTCAATATGTTATCAAGCAGGTGAGTCTGGACATTGAGCTGTAAGATGAGGTACTTTGAACACAGCCAAGCTTTGTGTGACAGCAGGGAAAAAAAGATTATTGCTGACCTTGTCAAACATGATAGCTGAAGTTTAGAAAGATGGTCCAATAAATCAGTAAGTCGAGAGCCATACTCTTTTGGCAGCAAAAACAGATAAACAGATACTGATTTACCATGGAGTTACCACTAAAGCTGTTAGATAGCTCATTCATTAAATCATGTTTTGATTTTGCATATATGACACTTCACCATCTAACTTACTTAATGTGCATATGTGTTTGACTGTTTTTTTTTTTCCCTCTCCTCCATAGTCCTCACTACAGATCAGGATTGTGAAAGATGGAAGCACTCTCCTTCTTAGTAGACTTTTTGTGCTTTGAAGATGTCTTGTAGGAATTTTATAGGCTAATGATGTATTTATGAATCAGTTATAAATGCTACTTTCTCTAAAATGAGCATTAAATTTCACAGAGAATTCTTTGAGTTAGAAACATTGTCTAAGATGTAACCGTATTTTTGCTTTAAAATGAAGGGCAGCTACTACTTTGTAATGAATAAAATACTTTATAGTCAAACTGGCTCATATTTTACATTGTGTTGAAATAAGAGTGTGTGTTAGTTATCAGAGTAACTATTTTCAGTATTCATGAAAAATAATTCCAGGTCAGTAGAACTATATAAGATGTCTTGATTAGTCCTGAGTGAGTGGCTACCATAACATTTTTCTCTTTTTTTTTTTTTAATGGTCAATGTTACCCATGATATATCAAAACCTGTTACGATGTGACAAATTAAACCATGTCCTACCAAGTAGTGCTGTTGCCATCATGAATTGCAAAGTAATATGAAATTTAAAAAAATGAATCTTTCAACTTCAGAAACACTAAAACATTTACTGAAAATAAGTATTTTACATAGGATTTGACAGAAAGAAATTGGTGTGATGTTTTTTTTCTGAACTGCTGCTTTTTTTTTTTTCTTCTGCCATTCCTCCTCTTTCCTCTTCTGTGTTCAGTACAAGGCATGTTAGTCATTTTGTAACAGTTAACTTTTCAATTAAGTATTTCTAGCTTCAATGGATCAAATAGGAATGATGACCATTGTTTAAATCTGTTTTTTAAGAAACATCTAAAGCGAATGCGCATAGCAACAGGAAAAAGATCATTGAGATGCAAAGTTGGTAGAAACAGTGCTTTGCATGCGTTTCAGCTAGCCATTGCCAAAGTAATACATTACAAAGAAATTGAAGCATGATAGGGCTAAGGTTCTTCAGCCAAATCTTAAAATCTAATGCAAGTGCACTTCAGAGATTTATTGTGAATATCTCTGCAAACGTAAGTTTCATTTTACTAGTCAAAATTGCAGACGGCCTTCTTCAGATCAATGATACAGGAAATGTTATTTGAACTTAAATCTCCTCTGAAGATGTTACAAGGGAAAACATTCAGATAGTGTTTTCGGGCGGGGGGGGGGGGGGTGTGTGCGGATTGTTGCACACTCTCTCCCCTGCCATTGGCACCTAAGCTCATTCTTGATTTTGAACAGCTCTAGCTTGTCTTTCTCTTGTTGTCTGAAACTGAAGAGATTCTCTATGATTAGATACATACCTATCACATAAAGTAAAATCTTGCTGACTATTGCAATAGCTCTGCCTTAATTGTTATGGCACATAGAATGGTGTGCATGGGTGAAGAGAAGGGAAAACCATCTGACTGCTATTTTGTTTTGTTTCTCTATAGTTAGCAAGAGAGATGGGAGAATCACCCGATATTATTCAAGAAGAAGCCATGGAAATCTTGGATGAGATGGGCCACAGTATGCAATTAGGAGCTGTCAGATTTTTTGCGTTTACGTTGAGCAAAATATTTAAACAGCTTTTCCAGAGAGTTTGTGTGAATGAAGAAGGAATGCAGAGAGTGAGTACTGGTGGGGAAAAAAAAAGTTATATTTTCATACCAGTCACTTGGCCAATGACTCTAATCTTCACTCCAGGTAACAAATATGAAAAATATCTTTTGAAAAAAAAGACTGCACTTCTGTTTATTATTGCATTTCTTAATAAGTGTAGGAGAAAAAATTATACATAAGTATTTTAGAGGCAAACAGTCAGCAGGACTTTGTACATTTTCCAAATGCTTCCTATGGTGAGGAATACCGTGTGTCAGCAATTCTGTTAGATCAGCCACTGAGAGTTTTTCTATCTGACACTATACATTTAATAATGCATTTAGCTGAATTGGAGGTGAAAACCTAATGTTATGTGACTGACTGGGTTGGTTGTTCTGCAAAACATTCATACAGCTAAGAGTGGTGAAACATTGTGCACCTCTGAGGCAGGAGATGCTTTAAGTTTGCCTCAGTTTGCTAGGGAGCTGTTGTCTCCCTGTTTCACTGTAGAATGCAGCTGTTCTGACGGGTGCAGCACATTCCCTGGAAGACAGCAAAGTCAGCCCTGAGAGCCTTTATTGGGTTTCCCATCCCCATCAAAAGGGATTTGAGTTAGACTATCATGTAATGGGGTGGCCCTGGCTTTTGAGTCCTGTGATGCTTGTGAACCACAAGTTGCTAGTCTGGAAACAACTGCTGCAAATTTCCTATGGTTCCATTTTGAAAAAGGTATGGAGTATGTGGTCAGAGAAACCACCCCTGAACAAATCAGCTTCTGTTTGCCTTAAGCCCTGTGAAGTTCTGTATTTGCAAATTTCAACAGTCAGTCTGTAAATATTGGAACAATATTGTTCTTGCTGTTTGTTTTTTGTTTTTTCAGTTGCAACACGCCATTCAGGAGCATCCAGTTGTTCTACTGCCCAGTCACCGAAGCTATGTAGACTTTTTGATGCTGTCTTATTTGCTATATACGTATGACTTGGTGTTGCCTGTCATTGCTGCAGGAATAGGCAAGTATGTTCTTTTAACAATGTTTCCAGGATTCAGAGAATCAGCAAGGAGTCAAGGAGCTGCTACTATAAGCAGTTGTGTTTAACTTCTGTTCCAAATATGTCCTGTTAATACCTCCCGGGGTGAGATGCTTACAGCATCTGAAAGCTTCTCATCGGTGCTGAGTCCAATCAAAGGTGAATTTTTTCATAGCAAGTTTGCCCACAAGTACCCCATCTGTAGACCCAAGGCTGGGGCAAAGATAGCTGTTGTGAAGAAGATTTCTATATTGCTGTTTTTGGCCTGGGAACAGGCAAAAATGTGCCCAGAAGCTACTGTGTATGCGGAACCTTTTGTGATACTTCATACTGTTTTAAGTGCAGTCGTAGCCAGATACAAAGTGCCAGCCACCTCGTGCTTGTTGCTGATGCAACTGATTCCCTTGGATGATTGTGTTATAAATTGAGACCACAATGGATCATAATCCAATTATAATTTTATTAATTATAGCAAGTAGAATATGAGCAAAGACAGCGCTGGACGGCAGGGGAGTCTGCGCTCCGCCAACTGCCGCACTGATCAGTTCAAACAGTTCCTTTTTATACATTTTTACATCCGTGGTTGTCTTTGATCAGTACCCCTTCTGCTTGCACAAGCGGTATCTATCTGGTTTGTGTAAGCAATTGCGGTTATCTTGTCTCACACAAGAGGTGTCTGGCAGCTGTTTGCATAAGCGGTTTTCTGTCTTTTGCCGCCTAACCTTTACATTGAGCTTAACATACATTTCAATAAACAATACCCTAGTTCATAGTTTCTTACACTAGGATATAGGTACCTGGTATTATTTCATGTAAAACTCTAAGCCATCTTGCTTTGGTAAAGTAAGAACTTTACACTGAAAACATACATAATTTAACCTATTTATCACTTATTTACTGTTTAGGTGAGCTAGATTTGGTTTGCTGTGTGAACTCTAATGCTAAAGCTTAAAATCTACTCCAGGGCTGCTATTGGCATGGTATTTTTAGAAATAAAAAACCCTCAGAGAAGAAAGTAAACAATATAGTTTGCACTGGTGAGAGCTATTGCTTCCAACAATATTCTCCTCAGGAGTTGCCATTTTAGAAAGTTTTTTGTTTTTAAATGTAAGATATGCAGCATAAAAGGTTGTGATTCTACAAAACAAGCACATTAACCTGGTTAATGTGTATACAGTAAGAGTATACAATAAAAAAAAAAAAAAAGGTAAAAACATGTCCAAACACATTACAGCAACGCTATTCTTTCGTTCCAGGTAGGAAGGGGATAGCTTAATATGGTTACAGAAAGAATAAAACTGTGCTTACAGCTTCTTAACCACAGACAGTTGACCAAAATGAACATAAGAACAGAGTATACAAAAGAGGCCAGTCTTGTACATAAAGGGAAAAGGACAGGAAGAAGTACATGAATCCCTACCAATCCCCTAAAATTTTTATTTAAAAGCAACCGAGTTAAGTAACAGTCCCCCAGCTCCTTTCAACTGTCACTATACTTATGGAAAGAAGTTTTGATCCAACAGCCAACACCATTTCAACCATTTTAAGTGACAGGGGACACCTTTAGCTTTACTTGTGCTATGTCCCAGCTGGTAAGTACATCCTCAGCTTTCACTTTTGTCTGTGTACCAAGAAACACAGTCTAATGACTGTGGTAAGGGCAGGGACAGCCTACCCACTACCTCATCTTTTCACAGCATTCCACAATCTGGGGTTTCAGAACCAAAAGCCTCCCCAACCCTGGCAGAAACACAACACATCCCAGTTAATAATATGCCCTTTGGACTGGTGGAGAACAACTACATCCACCATCTACTGCAGAGTACTTGCTTTTGGTAATGTTCTGAGTACTAGAAGCCAAAGCAAGTTGAGTAAGGATTAAGACAGGTAAGTTTCTTTGGAGTTCTTTGACATTATTGTAAATGCACAGTTAAGCTGCTTCAAAAATACTTACGCTCTTACCATACAAGTGAATACTCCTTGGGCGTAATTGTTATCAGTTATGTAACAAATCCAACCCTAAATATAACAGGATACTTGAGAGACTCATAACATAAAGGTCTTTGGACCCAACAGCCTTTCTAGAACTAAACCTAGGCTTTTCAAGTATAAAGCAAACTTAATTCCTTTCAATTCAGAGATGATCTAAGGCATATAGTTTTCAGGTAAGCATCCATTTGAGCCAAAAATGTCAGGACAAAGGGAATAGTTTTAAACACAATTCTAACTCCATGAAAGGTGGCATACCTCTGTGTAGCATTCTTGCTTCACTCTTGTGCTTTAATTGCCCTCTAAATTACAGTATCAGTTAAGTTTTCTGGTTTAGTTTTTAAACATTCATTTGACAAGAAACACCTAAATAGAAAAGACTCATATACAGAAAATAATAAAGCATGTTTAACCTTGGAATTTCAATACTGAATTCTGATCAAATTAATTATTTTGCACTTTCAAGGACACATCCCATTTCTAGTTATACAAGTAACTAAGTAAAAATGTCACTACTGATTTCTATCAGTGCACATGAAATTGCCCCCCCTGAACTGGTTGAATTCAGCTACTTCCAGAAACACGAGCTTAGTGCTGCAGCTCCTTACCTGACAAAGGAAAAGCCACGGGTCTCTTACCTGATCAGTTGTCATGTCACACTAAAAATGATACACAATACTTGCGGTTCTGTCCTCCCTCTTGGACCCTCTGCAAGTCTTCTCCTCTTCTGTCTCCAGCTGAGGAATGAGAACAGGTTTCCTAATCTCTTGCCCCATGCCTCCTCCCCACAATAAAAAAAGAGGTCAGGAAAGAAAGTCTGAATTGTGTGTTTTAACACAGGGAAAAAAAAAAAAACTCAGTACCAAGGCCAAAACTTCCCTTGATGAGTTTCACAGGAAGAACAAACTACTGAAGTAGTACACTTGTTTTTTCCCTTCCATGACATCAGTCTCCTGGGAGCACTGTGGCCAGCATTACACATAGGGCACTTCCATGAAATTCAAGGGTAGAGCTCCAGCAAGACAGCCTATTAAGTTCCTAATTTTAAAGTCTAATTTTAAAATTCAAGTTCTTAATTGTACTTCATGAAAGTTTTAAGAGAAAGAAATGAGTATTTTAAATTTCATACATTCAGGATACTTTAGAATCACCCTTTGGGTTCAGTTTGTACCTCACTATGTAGGCTTCAACAGAGATAATATTTCCACAGCTGATTGCTCGGTGTGGTAGGAGGTTAGGAGAGCTCCTACTGTGGTAATTCTCCATAAGCCCGTGCCCCTGCCCTAGAATTACAACATACGCAAAAATGCACAGTTCTGTTCACATATACAATCTACCTTCATGATGCCAGTGCTACACAAAACATCAGGACCAAGGGGAAAAAAAAAAAAGTCAACAGCCATTTGACAGACTTAATAAAGTTTAATAAAAGAACTTCAAAAGCTATTTAAGAACTGTGATAAAACAGGATATGTGAACATCAATAAAAATTACCTTTTCAGCTTGACATATTAATAAACGTAAGTATGGGTCCTAACCATATGTTGAGAATCAGTCATGTCAACAGCTTGTTAGAATGTGGCAAACTAAGTAGGAAAAAAATAAACCAACCACCCTTCACTGACAGTGCCAGTGGTTTTATAATTCAGGTCATAAACTATTGTGCAGCAAACAAACATGACAAAGCCTACCTCCGTTAAATTTGTTTATATGATAAAAAAATAAAATATTAAACTGCTTGTAGTGCAACATTCTATCAGCATACGTAAGTATACCATGCTTTGTAAATTTACTGTTACATTATTTACAGTATATAGCAATGCTTTAAACTAGAGGCGAAAGAACAAAAACAGGTAATGGAAAATGTTTACATACAGGTATGAGTCTTAACATTGTCCACCAAATCATCAAGTTCACTTTGCAGGCTTGTGTGTCATGTGGACACTCCTGCCCCACACCACACGGGCCACCTTTCTGACAGCAGTGGTTTGCTCTGTTTGTAGATAGTGGAAAGACATTTTTAAAAACTGCATAGCCTTCAAGCTTTTCCATTTCTTCAAACACCATTTGTAAGGACAGCTGTAAAATACACAAGAACTCCATCAATTATCTACATCTGATCAATGTGAAAACTCAATTCCTGAAATCAGATCAGTAAATATTCACTCCTGTAACGCTGTACCAAAGCCGAACTAAATTAATGCCCTTTCCAGCAGTCTCTTATTGAAGGATGATATTTTATAGGATGAAAGTAAGGGAGGAAAGCAGTTCGAGGATTCCTATCCATTATTTAAAATTCTGAGCTTTAACTGGGAGCTATACAGATACAGAACAATATATGAGAATGCAGACTTGTATGCTGCCTTATTTAACATCCTGTAAAGCTTCTGCTCAAATTGATAAAAAAATGAATACAGTAAAAGTGATGCAGTAACTATGCCTGCAGTACTTGTTTAATTTGATATCACCGTCCTCATAATAGAGAAATAAGGATTAATTATAACAAAATAATTAACTACACAGGGGGAAAGGGCTGTCCCCATGAACCACTTACATACTACAAAGAGTTAAGTAAAATCCATGGAGAGGTGTCTTAAGGACAACTGTTTGAGAAAGACTAACCACCAAGCTGTTCTTCAGATTAGGTCACGTGACTTATGTCTCTTCCCTTACCACTTTACTAGAGGGAAAGATCTGTTCCTCACTTGCTCTGAAGAGTGTCTTTGGAAGACTTTTAGGAGACTGCATCGTTCGATGGGCTGCAACAGCCCTAGAAGAGCTACTTTAGGTCTGCTTAAACAACAAATACTACTATTCTCTTGTTTACATTTCTGCTCATAGCAGACAGGAATCAGAACAACGTTAAGCTGCTTTTATGTAGGAAAAAAAGTAAACAGTTGAAGTTTGAAATCCAGTATTACCTTTAATTTCAAGTCTCAGTCTTTAAACTTGGTATTTTCAGAAAAGACTATATAATAGCTTTGGACAAGATATTGCACCATATATTTTGTGAATTCTCAATTCTAGTAATATTTGTCCACAATACAACAGAAGTAATTCACCTTCTCTATAGTGCATTAGATAACTATTAGGGCTATAATGCATTCCAGGAATACAGAATTCTAAAGTGTTTTCCACAGCGTTACTCTGAGTAAGCAAAGATCTAGAAATAGTTCAGTAAGAGCACTAGTCTTGCTTTAGTGGGCAGGTGGCAGAAGAAAAATCAAAGTATAAAACAATAATCCATTCTACTGTGCATTATTTCACTAGATTCTATGTTACTTTACAGGCTAACTGTGAAAAAGCCAAGCACTTGACACAGCACATTTATGAAATATGGTAATTTACCCAACAACCTGAGATTTTTGTAACCTTACCTTCTGTGTCTAAAGTATTTGGGATTTTGTGTTTTGTTTAACACCCACATTGTTGAGCACTTTGTGCTTGTGCTCTATGTAGTGATCTCAGCTGTCTCAAAGCAACATCTCCATACTGAATACCTGAACCCATTCCTTCTGGATCCAGTTCTCCTGATGAGAAACAAAATGGTCACAAGAAGATAGATCACATGCAAATTATACATTCCAATCTAACTGACAACACTAGATAAAAAATGCATAACGATATTCTGCTCTAGTTACAGAGAGATCTATTGCAGTTCTGTTTACTTTTAGGCAATTGCAAACCTGTAACATTTTCTTCTCTAATTTCAACCATGTGCCCCTAATCATAATTGGAATAATCTCCCTGGGGAAGAGGTGGATTCCCAAACATGGGACTGTTTTGCTGCCCAGTGAGTAGACTCATTAATTGCTCTGCATCCTATTTTAATTTCTTGTCCCAATGTTCCCTGCAATTGTTGTACTCCTTGATAGGTGTGATTCCATTCTTCTTTTGAGCTCACATTTATCCCCTGTATAACTGTAGTAGCCAAATTTAGAGTTGTGTGTGTGCTGCCTATCCCCATACTTCCAGTATACCCAATGTGGGCCTGGGACCATGGCCATTCACTGAACCTTTGACTATACATTAAAGGAAAAATGATTATCAGACTTATCGTGAGAAGCGTAATCTTCCTGGTTGAACTTGGGTAACTTTCCATGGAGATTTAGGGGCTTTCTTCACTCGGGTATGATGTATCCAGGCCGAGTATTCCTTAATCTTGATGGCTGTGAACGTCGTGAGCAGCACCTGGAATGGCCCTTCCCACCGTGGCTCCAAGGTTTTTTCTGTAAGAGACTTAACATATACATAGTCCCCAGGTTGTATATCATGTACGGGTCCATCCAACCCTCTACCTCGAATACCAATTACATGTTTTCTGATCTTATTGAGTTGCTTCCCTAACGCCACCATGTAGGAGCTCATGATTTCATCTCCAATTTGTGTGGATATTCCTTTTTGTACCCCGTATGGTTGTCCATATAAAATTTCAAAGGGGCTCAGCCCTTCCCAATCTGACCCATTTCTAGTTTGGGGGCGTTTTTGGGATTAGTCCGGAGGCAGATGTCGCATTGTCGAGTCACCTGCCTTACCGTGGTATACAAATTCCTGGCTACAATCTCTTTTATCAAATGACTATACAAAGCTTCTGCTCCCCAGTGTCTCTTTCTATGCTCCTCTCGTGTAAAATGCCATAGTAAATGAGAGGGGATAATTAACTTCCCCTGTGGGGTATAAGCCCACCCTTCCTTGTTATATGTACCTTCCAGATCTGCAATAAGTTTCTGATCCTCCCTGGTATATTCTGGTTTACTTTCTAAGGAAATTTGCCTATCGGGAATAAGTGCTCCTTCAGTCTTTATCTCTATTTTGGCAGCCCGTTTTGCCTCCCTATCCGCCAGCTCGTTTCCTTTTTCCAATTCAGAGCTCACCTTTTGGTGTGCTTTAATATGCATAATTGCCACCTTCTCAGGAAATTGAACAGCTTCCAATAGCTTCAAAATTTCTTCCGCATGTTTAATGTTTTTCCCTTGGGAGTTCAATAGTCCCCTTTCTTTCCAGATTGCTCCATGTGCATGCACAACTCCAAAAGCATACTTGGGAGTCCGTGTATATGTTTATGATCTTACCCTTAGCTAGTTCCAGGGCTCGGGTTAAAGCAATTATTTCTGCCTTTTGCGCAGACGTATTTGCAGGCAGAGGTCCTGATTCTATTACCTTTTGACTGGTGGTAACGGCATACCCCGCATGTCGATTACCGTTCAGGACGTAACTGCTTCCATCCGTGAACCAGCTCTCTTCATCCTTCATGGGGCTTTCTTTTAGGTCAGGGCGACTTGAGTATGTCGCCTCAATTGTTTCCAAGCAGTCATGGTGCACTGGTTCTCCCATGTTACCACTGAGGAAAGAAGCTGGGTTGATAATATTAGTGACTATTATCTGTACATCATCTTGTTCTACTAGTGCAGCTTGGTATCTCAGAAATCTTTGTGGGGAGAGCCAATGCCCTCCCTTTGCTTCCAGGACTGCCGACACTGTATGGGACACATAGACACTCATTTTCTGGCCCAGAGTGAACTTCCGAGCTTCCTGTATGTTCAGTATCAGGGCAGCCACCGCTCGCAGACACCCAGGCCACCCTTTTGCAGTCGCATCTAGTTGTTTAGAGAGGTAGGCGACAGCTCGTCGATATGGACCTAGGTCTTGTGCCAGTATTCCCAGGGCAATGCCCTGCTTCTCATGAGAAAAAACGGTTTACTCACATCTGGAAGTCCTAGAGCTGGGGCCGACATCAAAACCTTCTTCAGTGAATCGAAGGCTCGCTCAGCCTCCTCATCCCATTCGAGGTGCGTCTGTTCGGTGTTTGTTAGCGCATACAGGGGCTTAACAAGCAGTCCATAATTATAGATCCATAGCCTGCACCACCCCGTCATTCCCAAGAAGGTTCTTAATTCTTTTACTGTCTGAGGTTTTGGGGTTTGACATATGGCCTCCTTACGGGACTGTCCCAAAGTTCTTTGCCCTGCAGTGATCTCATAGCCCAGGTAGTTTACTTTACGTTGTATCACCTGGGCTTTCTTCTTAGAGACTCGATACCCCCGTAGTCCCAAAAAATTTAACAAGCTCACCGTCCACGTTGCACAGTCCTCTTCTGTCTCAGTAGCGATCAAAATGTCGTCCACGTACTGCAATAATTTTCCTTTCTCGGATGGGGCTTCCCAGGATTCCAAGTCCTTTGCAAGCTGGTTGCCAAAAAGAGTAGGGCTATTCTTGAACCCTTGTGGCAACACCGTCCAGGTGAGTTGGGTCTTTCGACCAGTTTTAGGATTTTCCCACTCAAATGCAAACAACTTTTGGCTGGCTTTATGGAGAGGAAGGCAAAAGAAGGCGTCCTTCAAATCTAAGACAGTAAACCAAATCAACTCTGGTGTTAATACAGTTAACAGGGTATATGGGTTTGCTACCACTGGGTGGAGATCTTCAACTATTTTATTCACAGCCCGTAAGTCCTGAACCACCCTATACGACCCATCAGGTTTCCGAACGGGCAGTATAGGGGTATTGAACTCAGACTCACACTCTTCTAGTAACCCTAATTGCAAAAATTTTTCTATTACCGGTCGGATTCCTTCCCTATCCTCCCTTTTTAAAGGATACTGTTTAATTCTCACCGGTCATTGACCTTCCTTAATCTTGATCTCAATCGGTAGAGCGTTTTTCGCCCTTCCAGGTACATTGGTAGCCCAAACTCCCGGATATACTTGGTCTAAAATTTCCTCACTAATTTCTCCTCCTGACGAAGAACTAGTTAGAGTGAGACTCAGCACTTGAATGTACTGCTGATCTTTTACCTCCAAGGTGACTTCCCCTTTTTTCAAAGACAGTTTTTGCTTCCAGTTGTTCCAGCAAGTCCCTCCCCAGGAGAGCTTTTGGGGAGTTAGGCATATAAAGGAATTTATGAATTCCCCATTGCTTTCCCAATTTATACTCTAAAGGTTTACAAAAATACGCCTTTTCAGATTGGCCGGTCGCTCCCTTTACCATAACAGAGTCGTCCCCCAGTGGTATTAAAGCTTGATTCAAAACAGAGTACGTTGCTCCTGTGTCTACCAAAAGTTCTACTTCTTCTTGTTCTCTCCCCAGCTTAAGTTTAACCAGTGGATCCACCAGGGTAGATCCCCCAGGTCCCCGTCAGTCCTCTGTTACATTTGCTATTTTTACATTCATTGAAGCCTTCCCACTTTCCGTAGGGCGCAGCTTCTGAAGTTTTCCACCTTATCCACCTTTGTACATCTCTGTCCAATACTACATGATGAGCAACACCTCTTTAGCTTACCCCTACTTTCCTTACTTTCTCGTTCAAGTGCGAGCACCATAGGGTCCTGTGGGGGTACTAACCCACAGTCCCTTTGCCACTCTGGGTGGTTTCGCAAAGTGAAAAACATATCTGCATATGATACCTCATCCCATTTTCCTTCTCTCCTTAAAAAACAACATAAGTTGTAACAAAGTGTTATAGTCCAGTGTTCCATTAAGCGGCCATTTAGCACCATCCTCCAGCTTATACAGCGGCCACCACTGATTGCAATATTTTACAAGAGTCTTTCTGCTTTCCGTACCTCCGCTCCCTGCAATATCCCGCCAATGGGCGAGTATACAGCCGAGAGGGCTCTTTTTTTAATATCCCTCCCTGAGTATTACCCATCTTGTTTTTGTAAAACACTCACTCCAAACGCTCACACTTAACACAATCACCACACAGCATTCACTCACGATCTCACAATCTCACGGACGTCCACACACTTACAACACTTTCATCAGGAGTAAAAAAAAAAAAAAACAAAAACAAAAAACACAACAGAACAAAGGCCTTTTCAATCACTCTTGCCTGTGGCCGCCCTCTCGGCCAACAGGTCCCCGATTGGAGCCAGCGACCGCTCTATCGGTCTGTGGCAAGGTATAATTGCCCCCTAGACTCCCCTAACCCGCACGAATTCGCGCCTTTTCGGTGCACCTACCCGGCTTAGCTGCACGCCAGACGTCTCTGTGCGATTTACCAGCTGCCCCAGCCACGCGTACGACTTACAGGCTCCTATCCTTAAACATACCGTTTGGTCCGCGGCTTCAGGAAGTCCTTGTCTGCCCCCCACGGTGAGCGGCTGGTAGCGGAGGCTCCTCCGAGGAAAGTGCTCGGGGCGCGCCTGGGAGAGTCCGCCCCGCAGTCGATCCCGTAGTCGAGCAGAGAGTCTCCTGCCTGGCTCGCCAAAACTGACGTGCAGAAATAGACTCCACAATATGATAGATTGTAAAGTAGGTATGTTTATTCAGCGCTGAGGTACACAGGGGATAACTCCTCCTATTGTGTACCCCACGTATGGTGCTGTTACCTAAGATTTATAGAGCAAATGATTACATATTCATAATATTTCGCAATACGCCTATACATATGCAACACCTATCCCCGCTTCGTATTATAATTAGCATTTCCATAATCTCCTCCTAGTTGAGTCTGCGCAGTGTCTTCTGGTGGTGGTCGTGGGGGTCTTTGGGGATGAAGTCAAGCTCCTCTTCCTCCTGTCCGCTCTGTGACCCCAGGTTTTGCGCAGACTCAGTCTCTTACTGGCTGTTGTCCAAACCGCGGGTCTAGTTCCAACCGGCTCAATACTGATAAAGCCTAGAGAGCTCACCGTGTTTTACAAACTGTCTGTTCACTAAGCAGAACTGTTAACCGTTATCTAAACTATTTCCCTTGAACTATTTTCTTTTGTTATCCCCTTCTTGCTATTATCCCCTTCTTGCTATTCTCATGTTAACCCTTACATCCCCTGTTCCTATCTTGGCCCTGTATCAGGACACCTTTAAGATTCAGCTGTACACGGTGCTGGGGCATCTTGTCTAGAGCATGTTTTGCCAAGAAAGATTGGACCAAGTGGTCCGTGAGGTCCCTACCAACCTGGCATTCTATGATAATGACAAAGCGGTTTGTCTCTAAGTTAGGCTGCAACAAGAAATGTATTGGCACTAACTACTTCTAACAAATGAAACATCCAAAATGTTTTCTGCAAACACTGTTAAAAACTGCTGCTTTCAGAGACTGGCATACAAAGAAAGTAGTACTGTAGACACCAAGCCAAACAAAAATAGATCAATCTGACAGTAGGGTTCCATAAAGCACTGCCCCCAGAGGAAATTATCTCAAGCTTCCCTACTTTTGGTATCAGTTTCTGCCTACTCCATATTCTGTGCCTTCAGAAAAACGTTCTTATGGCTGTATCGTGGACTGTCTAAGATTAGAAACATTTAGTCTAAAAAAAAAAAAAAAGAAAGAACAGAAACAAACCAAAGAATCCCTCTGAATAATTTAGTTCACTTCTTCAGATTCATTGCAGTTGACACCACTTGAGGGGTCCAGTTGATAGCTCAAGGGTAGGGCTTCCTTTCAGAAAAGCATCACTGGCCAAGCTAGAGGAACAGGCCAGCAGGAACCTCATGAAATTCCTCAACTACACATGCAGAGCTCTGCACCAGCAATGGAACAAGCCCAAGCACTGGTGCAAGCTGGGGAGCAACTAGGTAGATAGCAGCTATGGGTTAGCACTGGGACACAGTGTCCAGAGGGGCTGTGGAATCTCCGCTCCTGGAACACCTCAGGATGTGCCTCGACAAGCCCTGGGCAACTTGCTCTCCTTTTGAACCTGAACATGCTTTAAACAGGAGGCTGGACTAGAGACCTCCATAGGCTCTTTCCAGTCTCAACTTTTCCATGATTCAATGCATGTGTGTCGGCACAAAGAAAACATGAGAAAACATTTTTTCATCTAAAAATTTGTGTTTGGCACTGAAAAATAAGTGTCTGGAACAGACTTTTCGATCTGGCCAATACTTAAAACTTTGAAGAGATCGAACAGCTAGAATGTAAGAGAGGAAAACTGGAATGCAAATTAGCTGTAATGCCACCTAACACTTAGGAGCCTGTCTCTGATAGAAATCTGCCCACTTGTACTGAGAAGCTTCTGGTATATTTCTAAATCTGCAAAAGTAAAAATGGTTTCAACCAAGAGGCAGGAAGGTCATTTCTGAGAAACACAGTTGCTAGGAAACATCCCTGAAATTTTCAGTATTACTGTTTAAATTCTCTTGACTGTATTTCCTGCTGCATGAGAAGCAGAAAAGTTACGTCTGCCCTGAATACTAGGTTTTTAGTCTGCATTGCTAAAACTGATGTCAGGCTTGATGTTTGTAGGGACATAGCAACCCACAGAATGCACAGCCTACACTCAGAGCTGATACTTAAGGTAAACACCATGTAAAAACATCCATAATTCACACCACCACCCCTTTTAGATACACAGATCTGACTTGGATGTCCTTTCCTATTAAAACATATGGGAAGCAGCTATAAACTAAATGGGTTATTTTAGCACGATGAAATTCTGATTCTCTGGGGTAATTTTATTACGGAACTTTGAATGATGATAGTTACACACGTACTCTTAATTTTCAGGGGAAAAAAACACATTAAAAGAATATAAATCTCAGTTTACCTAATTCAATTTTATAGAGTATTTCTCTTGCACACTGTACAAAGGCCTCTTCAACATTTTCCCCCGTTAGTGCACTTGTTTCCAAGAACATCAGCTCTGCATTTGAGACCAGAAAAAAAATCTCAAAACAAGTCAGGAATATCTGATATAGTAATTCAAAGCATGACAGCTGGGAACAATAGATTTAAATTTTCTTAAGGAGAACTATTGTCAAATAGTATGGTCTAGAAAAGTAGCTTTTGACAGGAAAAATCACAAAAAACTTCCTCTGAAATTTATATATTAATTCTAAGAAGTTGGAATCCAAAGATAATAACCTGGGCTGTGCATACGAAATAGCACATGAAACCAAAGAACTTGATATGGTTTCACATTAGTAGAAAGTTATATGCAAAAGGACAGCCAGTAGCCACAGTTGGTATAAAACACTACTAGCAATTGATTTATAAAAAAAAACCCAGATTTTACTGATGGCAGGACTGCAGCACAGAAGCTCAGACTGAGACTGGCTTTAGCTGCCACAGAAATGTGTCCTCACACTGGAAATTCTGAACACTACAGACCAGGTAAAGGTCCTCTGGGATCCATGCCACACACTAAACTCTGTTTCCTATGAGTAAAACTCATTGCTTCCATCTGCGGCGCACCCCATCCAACCTTGTCTATGATCTATAGAATCTGTAAGATGCTAAAAAACAGGAAATCATGCTCTCCATTTCCTTCTCAGCCCTTTGGAGGTAAGGCAAGACCTGAAGTTGTATTACATTCCTTTGGGAACATATCTCCTCATAGCAGCTATTCTTTGAGTAGCAGCTGTGACTGGAAGAATCACTGGTAAGACGACTTAAATAGTACATGCAGTTTTCACTGCAGGCACTGTCCTCTCTCTATGGCCCATGTACTGACAGAACTCTCTCTTCTGTAGATATTTTAAGGTACACTGGGCAAAGTACTCCCTAACTGCACAAAAAAAAAATTGTTTTAAGTATTAAGCATCCTTGAATGCTACATGAAGATTTTGTACTACTTACCATTTTCTTGTGCAAACTGGGACGCTTCTAAAAAAGTAACTTCACGATCTGCATCAAGATCCTTTTTGTTTCCACACAGTATTATCACAATATTTTGACTTGCTAACATTCTAGCATCCGTCAACCAATTCGTAAGCGCATTGTAGGTTTCCCGGCTATGTAGAAAATGACATCCTTCATTAGACTATACTGATTTCTTGTGAACAGATCATTGAACTAAAACCCAGAAGGCAAATCTGTATTTGTAACACACAACAAATTCCTGCTAGCCAGGCAAGTCACCTATACATCTCAATATACCAGCTATGAACTGGGAAGAGTATCGAGTTCTTTCATGAAACTATTGAAAAGTTTTTAAAAAGCAAAATTAAATCAACCACAATATACAAATACACACAATTATAAAATACCTTGTTAATGTGAAAAGCTAAAATTCTAAGCACTAGTTTCAGCCTTTTATACATGAAATTTTGAAATGACACAATGAGTTATTGTTTAACATGGAATTCAACTGATACTTGAGTTCAGGTAAGATTTTAAGAACTTACTACTTCTGTGAAAGTTCAGGCACTCAATTCTACACTTGTGCCAAGACCAAAAAAGACTTTCAAGACTGCTCAGAGGAGAACAGTCCACTCAGGACAAAAAAAAAAAGGCAACAAATCTAGCAAACATCATTAACCAACATAAAACTTATCTGACAATTATCAGTCAGTGGCGGCCAGGAAAAGTGTGGAAATGTGTACGGTAAGGTATTCTCTTGGCTGCCTATAATACTCAAATGTTAAAAGATGCAGAGATGAACAGAATTTTGGGCTACAGTTATGGAATGTGTAGGTAGAGCTAGCTTCTCCAGAAGATGACCTGTTATATCAGCATACTAATACATAGTTTCCACAAATAGGGGTGAACCACCTTGATTAAAAGTGGCTAAGTCTGCTTTTAGTTGCTATTGCACGGCTTCCTGGGCCAGTGGTTGCATGTAGCCCACCACGATCAAAACAGCTACTGGTAGGCCAATTCCCTTGTGTCTAACCCTTTTGAGACTGTTTACATTTATGACACTCACAGTATCTCATGTAAGCAAGTTCTAAAACTTAAATATGCACAAAACCAGAAGTACTTTTTACACTTATTTTCCTTTCTTCCTGCCCATTCTCCATTAGAGGATTAGGTACTTGGGGAGGAATCATTATGCATTAATTGTATCTGATTGTCTATAAGCAAAAAACCCCAACTGTCTATAAGGAAAAGAGTTGCTAGCTTTCTTACCTGGTTATATCATAGACAAGCAAAGCACCTGCAGCTCCTCTACAGTAATTTTTTGTTACAGAACTGAAATAAAATTACAGATGCACATTTCTATATCATCTTCATTGTTTCAATATAATGGCTAATATAATGCAATCTCTGTTATGAGACAGAATTCTACTTTACGTATTTAAAATAAAATTTATATTTTAGACATTATCAGCTGTGCAGCAGCAGACTATTTACAACTAGACTTTTGACAAAGCACTTTCACTAAATATAGCTGTCCAAGGATTCTCAAAGTCCATTATGACCTGTGTGCTGCTGAAGCTACACAGCATCATACTGTATGGCCTGATATAGAACTAGAAGCTGATGGTGGTATCTCTGGCACAAAAAAAGCATAATTAACTTATGTTTGAACTCTCAGCATTGAGGAAAGATTGAGCAAAGTTGTTTTAATTGAACAATTTAACACTCCTTAAGTTGAAGAGAAGGAGGCAATGAAAGCAAAGCAAAGCATCCTTCAAAAGGTAGAGGGAGAAGAAGAAACCTGATCAGCACACAGAGGTGTGACAAGCCTTAAGAACAAAAGAATTGGATAGATTATAAAAATCAATATGAAGAAAAAAAAACAAAAACAAAAACAAGAACAAGAACAACCTGCAAATCTGTGAATACTCTGAACTTGAAAGAGCAGAATTTGCACAAGTCTCTGAAAGTACAATTTCCAAACTCCTCAGAATCCCAGGATATCTGGCCAACACACTGAAGAGATCTCATTAATAGAGACTACACAGCACTGCCCAGCTTTGCCTACTCTTCTATTAGACAAGTCCTTTGGATACATCTGTGACTAGGCAAATCTACAGATTACTTGGATTGCTGCCTATTACTCAGGTTCTACCACCACACTCACCTTTGTTAACCACTGTCCCTGCCTCTAAAACCAGAGAAACTTCCCACACAAACTCCACCTCCCAAAGATATGAAAAACTGATGTCCCGTGTGATGGTGAATGTACTCAGGAATACATGAGATCTTTACTGAGTTTCACCTATGCCTCTGATATGACACAATTAAAAGACAACATTAAAAGTGGTTTTAATCTGACAAGTGCATTGCTTTTTCCTTAAGAAACTTAAGAGATTTCAGTCTTTCTGGAAGCGTATTTAGCCAAGTGAACCTGACAACTGATTTCTTTCCCTCTAATAAAATACTATGAAATTGTTCTCATGCAGATTGAGCAATTTACAATTTATTCCAATCAACAGAAGATCTTCTAAAGACAAAGTTAAGCACACGTGGTTAGTTAAAAAACTATTCTGAGTTTGCCTAGTGAACAAAATTTTAACCACATACATATTCTACTCGTGTACATTAACTATCACAGAAAATACCTAATGAAAGGGCAGAACCTCAGGTCCTGCAAGGCAGCACTGCTTTACTGGAATCAATGGATCTATGTTGTTATGTCCAAGTCGGAAGATCTGGCCCAGTTAATAACATGAAGGCAGACAAACACTTCTGCTGACCAAGAAATTTACAAGCAGAGAGAAATAATACCCAACACCCACACCAACAATTTAATAACAAACAGTAAAATGACTGAAAACAGTACCTGAATCTTTCTTGTCCTGCTGTATCCCATATCTGCAATTTTACATATTTACCACCAACATTTATGATCTTTGAACCAAATTCCACTCCTATAGTAACATTTGAGACGTCTTTGACTACAAAAAAAAGAAAAAAAACCCAGACTTATTTAGAAAATAGAGTGAATAATTATTTTTTACATAAACCAATTTAGGTATAATCAAAACACATCAGTGTTCAAATTACAAACTACTTCCTGAACCATCAAATTCAGTGACACTCAGAAGTCTATTGCCACTGTGCAGAAATAAACATTCTTACAATTTTTGAACAGGTTATTCAATTCAAAATTACTGCTAGAAAGGCCTGCCTTAATCTAATCATTCCCTGTTCACATTAATAAATGGCGAGATAACTTTTGTACACTTTTTTTCCCAACTGTGTTTTCTAATACTTTGATGCAATTTAAAATTAAAATTCACAGAAAAGCAGAACACAAAAAGACACAGTCCTGCCCATAAATAAGCAAGAGCTACTTCTTCTTTAAAGGTTGAAGTTAAGATATTTGCTCTATGTACACTGTTGATATCACAGATTCTCAGCAATATACAACTGCCCATATGGGAAGCAAGGCCACAGTTCAAGTTCAATCACAGGATCATGCCATGTTCCTCAGTGATTACACACTATTATCCTTAGGAGATAACGCAAATTACCATTTGGTTGAGAAAAATAGTAGTTATCTTAGTTTTACAAAGGTTTCTAAATGCATATTATTTTTGTTTAATCATGATGCTAAATGCACCACCCAATAGGAAATCTTCTTTTATATCATCTATTAATCTCCAAATAATATCTACAATGGAGTCTCTACCAGTGTTTATTATAGAACACAGTCCTTAACAAAGAACATGGATTGTCTATGTTGAAAGACTACAGGGTTTCTAAATCTACTCAAACAATTCAACGTTTCTTTCATCTGCTCAGTATTTTTTTCTAAAAGATCTGAGTCTCTACTGTATGTCTAGGGAAGCTTGTAGCTGCAAGATGTAATTCTCACAAAAAAATAGTCTATTTTCATCAATATCCTGCTATATTTGAGAGCAATGGAGAATACTGCTCAATATCATGCTTGTGCTTAGAGGCAAACACAGTGAGCAATAAAGACTTATAGCATGGTTCTGAACATAATTCTCAGTCAAAATCCTCATATAGACAAGTAGGAGAATTACAGGAACTTCCATACAAAGAATAGATGTTCATGTAGGCAGAGCCTTCATCTGTAGCACAAAGCAATGAAGAAATCTCACTGTGCTCATATACTTACATTCCTTTTCAATAAATTGGTGTAGCAAACAGGTTTTTCCAGTTCCCGCGTTTCCTATGACCAAAAACTTAAACAGGAAATCTGAATATTGCAAGACGGAAAAAAAAAAAAGCTAGATTTTAGTATGCACTCACATTTTTGTCACAAGACCAAGTACACAAGCCGCTATTCTCTAGTAGCTGTTACATCAAAAAGAAGGGACTAGATGACAAAATCTTCCTCACGCCGCCGCCGCCTTCCTCCACAGCGGACCGCCCGCCGCCCCGCTCCTCAAGAGGCGACTGCTCGGCCCCGGGCCCGCTCCCCAGGAGGGGAGGAGGAAGAGGAGGGTCCCCCCACCCCGCCCGCCCCCAGTTCCTACCGTAGGTCTCGGACATGGCAGTCTGCGGTATTTCGGGAGCGGGGAAGCACACACGCAAAACATTATGTCGCCGCCGCCGCCGCCACCGCCGCCGCCCCCGCCTCTCCTGCCGCCTCTCCTGCCCGGGGTCGGTGCTACCCGGCGAAGCCGGGCGGGCAGGCTGGGAGGGAAGCGGAGAATCCATCGGAGCCTCCAGCGCCCCGGCCCGCCTCAGCGCCGCCAGCAACTGCCGCCAGCAACTGCCACTGCCGCCAGCAACTGCCACTGCCGCCAGCAACTGCCGCGGCTGCGCACGCGCGCCCAGCCCGCCTCGCCCGGCGGCGGCGGCGGCGGCGGCAGGAAGAGAGAGAGTGTATGTATGTGGGGGGGGGGGGGGGGGGGGGCCGCGAGCGCCGCCTGCCTGACACCCCCCCCACTTCCCCGTGAGGGGCAGGGGCGGCCCTACGGGTCGCGTCCGTGTTCACAAAAAACATCTCCCTCTTCGGGGCGCGCTCAGTGCTGTTGCGGTGCCTGCGTTTGGAAGCGGATGGTGTTCGTATGATTTAGAAGTTCCCCTCCGCTCCTCCTGGAAAATGTAGCAGCTGGGCAGGCTGCGGCGGGGAGCGGAGCGCTCCTGTCTGGCTGCCCCTAGGGAGGAATAGTCCCTGAGTCCCTTCTGGTACATTCTATTTGTCGCAAATCTGAGCCGATTCCAGCTTTTTCATACTGTTTTTCAAATTTCTCAGCGATTTCAAGCATTTTTTTCTCTGGTGCAGAACCCCCCTGTGACAGTTCCCCCTGAAAACTGTATCCTGCTGTCCAGCTGTAGTCCTAAAATATCTACCCCAGATTTTTTGAAATACCATCCGTTGCCTTGCCCCACAACAGCCAGCATTTCAGCCAAAGCATTTGAGCCTTTTTGCTGCAAATCTCTCTGAGGGATATGGTATATATAAGCTAACAGGGATTTTTTTTTTTTTTTTTTCCAGTGCTCTACACTTCACCATTGCTTTTCATACCTCCAGGATAAACGCCAAGGAAAGTTGGAGGGCACTAAGACTCCACCACAACAGCCTGTCCACCTTTTCCCTCCCCAGACAGGGCTTCCTGAGTGTCCTCCATGTTCTCCTTTCTGCCAGTCCCTTTAAAAATTCCTCTTCTGTTATTTCTGGCTTTTTAATCTTGTTGCTCACAACTTCCCATTCTTTCCACTTCTCCATCACGTCCCAAGCTCTAGGAGACACTGCGCGTCCCAGCCACCTCCTTACTGAGTCTTTTGCTGGTCAAAGGTCAGCTTTTAAATTCCTGTCTCTAATCAGTGAAAAAATACGTGTTGAGACAGCACTAAGAACCCCTCAGAGAATCTGCTGATTATTCTTGACGCTGTGGATACATATAGACACAGGAACTTGCTACAGTTTTCAAAGAACCAACTACTTAATAAGTTCATACTAGTAGCAGTAGTTAGAGGTTATGTACACAGGTTCCCAAAGTTACCGTAACCCTGATGCACAGAGGATATTGAGGTCTAAAATGTCACACATGATCATTTCTCTGGAGGATCGGCTCTCCAGAACACTGGAGGAAGCTGAGGGGTCTTCCCATGAGCTGCACGGATCACAGTATGTCGCAAACGAGAGCTTTGTGGCTGAAAGCTGTCCACCAAAACAGTACGTTTTGAGGCTTAGGTTGGGCCTTAAAGAAATCTGGTCTAACGTCACTGAACCCGTGATAGGCTGTTGGTTATTTTTGCTCTAAAGACCCCCAACAAACCAAACCAAAAGTGTTAACAAAAAATCCCCAGAGACTGGTTAACACAGAAGTAGACAGATTTTACTGGATTACTAAAAATATATCATGTTATAGCAATAAGAGAGCATGGACGTTTAGCCGTCTTGCACTGTATAAACAGTACTTTATGCTAAGAGTCAAATTAGTCTTGTCAGATCTTATTTTTTGTTACGTGTATCTTGCGAGATGAGCTTGACTATATGGAGGTTATATTTGATAAATACGTCATTGTGCTAATGCCATGGTCCTCTGCCTCCAACCAATCCCAGTTAGTTTACATGCATATGCCAATCAAATACATTAAAACTATAAAGCTTTCTATAAAAGATGTTAGTAATACTGAATTGGAGGCTGGAGGTTGAATAAATGGTAGAGCAAAGACAGTAGAGCATGAGAGATTAATAGGATTTGGTGTTTCAGTATTTCTGCTTTGAAGAGGAATTTAGAACAGAGTAAAATTCAGAAATAATTAATAAAGATTGCACTAGGTTAGAAAATATATAGCTGATACCTCAATAATTCGAGAATATAGGGTCCTATATGCTAATAAAATAATTATTTTTTTATCAAAAATATAAATAGCTAGAATTGACCTCATCAGTGTTCATCTTGAGTATGAGGGTGATAAAAACCAAAAGGTGTTTAATTTGTCCTCTAATTTATGGTTTCTGTTGTTTACATCTGCTAGAAACTTCTGGCTCATATAAAAACGTATATTATGTCAAATTGTATCTGTAGATCATGCATTTAAATGCTATCATTTGTTCTTCAAATTAGTTTCACCACAATTATTATGTCTATAATTGTGGTTGTAAAATTGCTGCTCAAAAGGTCATGTTAAGGTTCCTCTAAAAATGCTAATCTCATTTTTCACTAGTTTGCACTAACCAGTGTACCATAATATTAGTGCCTGACACCTTAGGAGTGGAAGAGGACTCACAAGATCTCCACAGAGCCAGACTCAGGATGGGGTATTCCATGACAGCTCTTCCTTCCAAAATAAAATAACCTGATTTAGGACTTTGCAAATTTGGACACGTCTTTTAATGACCTAGCATCGCAAGTGGCCTTCTGCTTTCCTTTGCCGTTACTGTAGGGAAGCAAAGTTCAGTCTGGGTCTGAAGTTGAGCTGTGGTTGGGATTCACCTTCACTGTGGGGCTGAGTGCTTCTGGCTGGGGCTGGAGTGCCGCTAAAGGTGCGATGGGCTGCTTAATACTAGAGAGAGTGACAGGGCATGTCTTGGTTTGGTCTGAAGGTGGCAATACAAGGCCGTGTGTGAAAGGCTCTACAGCAGCCTGACACTGTGTGTTTTCTCTATTAGTTATGGCTGTGTGGCACACAGTCCAGTCTGAGACTCAGGTAGAATCGGGAATAATGTATTCTGCCACACTTTCCCATTCCTTGTGTGCTGAATATGGAAGGCAACCCAAGGTAACCCAGCAATGAATTTGGCTCCAGCAGCCCAAATGAAATATGAAGATAGGTGGTTGATGCTCTGAGAAACCTCTGAGATTTCCATTACATCCTTGTATGCAGTGACATTGGCCAGCTGACTTCATTTGAAAACAGATGACATCATTTGAACACTGTCATCTTCAGCTTCCACAGAAGCTGCCCTCAACACATGAACATGGTTGTCCATTAATATAGTTGCAGTTATACATGTAAATTTATGGGTCAGATAATTATAAAATCATGGGCTTATCCCTCATCTGTTAGCCCAGAGTGATGGGAGCTGGTGAAGAAGGTGACTGCAAAGGTATGCTGGTGCTGTAATTGAACTCCTTTACCTTGCCCCATTGTTGTGCCTCAAACAGGGTTTGTTACCTGGTGTGCAGAAGCCAGTCTTGCACACAGATCCGAGATATCAGTTTATTCTATATTTGTGCAAAGATGAGTGCTAGGGGGTTATGCCACAAAGCTAGCACACCACACAAAAGAACTTCAAGGTATTTATACACTTCAGACTACAGGATTACATGTTTACTATAATGACTATTAGTTGCTTATCACTTCTATGCCTCATTGGTTAGTAACGTGCCTCGTCTTCATTTAAAGTTATAGTGGGTTTTAATTTTTCTGCACAAGCTCAAAGGGTGAGGGTCTTTACTCAGGCAGGGATCTTTGAAGCGGTGGGTGTGATTTTTACTATTAGAATAGTTCCTACAAAGGACACTCTAATATCTAATTAATCTGATTTATGGTAAACAATTTTAACGAACTTCTATGTTTCAGGATGTTTCTCTTCTTCAAGGACAGTAGCTCCTTTTTATAAGTTCCTTACTAATCATTGTTAATGGTTTAACGAACAGAATAGCATTCTATCTATCCTTGTATTTGATGAGAAACATTTGTATGGCCTATGTGTCCTTGTATTTGATGAGGAAACATTTGTGTGGGTTACACCAAGGTGAAGTCTTCCAAGAATAAATATGAAGCCTCCAGGCTATGCTACTGTACTGGGCAGCCGGTGATGGCTAGAGTCTGGAGTGCTCTGTGCTAGCTAACTGCTTTTATTTTTATCATGCCCTCTTCACCAGTAGTAGGAAGAAGGCAGACACTATGCAACCTGGTATGCATGAAGAATCACCCAAAATTGGGATAAGCTCATTTTAGGATAGCTTTATGCTATAATGCAGAAGTACAAATTTGCCCTGATATGGGATTGAGTACCATCTCTTTTTGTATTGAAGAACCTTATATAATATTTTCAGGTGTTTTGTCCAGGGAAACATACTAATGTACTTTTACTAGAATAAGGGTATATAGAAGCCCTATATTAAAAAAAAAAAAAAATGCACAGAATAGAGAAAAAATATTTTAAAGGAAATCAGACTACAGGCCATATCTTTCAAAAACAGTGGTTTAATTTTGCAAGAATCATGTAAATAGAGTGAAGGGGACTAAGGACTTATTTCAGAGTGTCAAGAGGGACACAGGAAAATGAAGACAACAAAAATCTGGGACATGTTATAAAAGTAATGACTCATAGTGCCTAGGACACAGACAGGTTTGTGACACCTGTGTTTTATGAAGTTAGACTCATGGTGTCACCGATTAACTGCTCTGTTGGTGAAATGGCGATAATGGGATGTAATTGGCTGCATTTGTTCTTTTTTAACAATAGGGAATGGCTGAGGGGGGTTATATTTTTAATAACACATAATTGAACTAGAAGATCTGTTGATAGATTACCGAGTGATGCTCAAGGCCACGTGAGTGTTCCTCCTTTCAAGCTCAAAGCGGTTTTCACTGCTCAGGAGAACTCACATAAAATGAAAAGGTTGTTCAGTTTGAGTCCTGTTTCACAAGTAAATATCCTCGAAGATGCAATATAGCAGTCTTAATTCAATTCTGCCTCTCCAGTTGCTCTGAATGCAGCACCAGGAAGCAATTGAGGCTGGCTTTGGACACGGGTGTGAGCTTGCATGGTTCACCTGGATGGTTCAGCAAGTAGTGCCTCTGTCTGGGTCAGCGTGGGAGCTGCATGCTCAAGGAGGAATTTGTCTTGTCATGTCCCCTGTTATGGATAACCGGGTG